ATTAGCCCGCCTCCCTGCGTGGACTCTGGAGGTAAGGAGATATCAACCAAACGCACCCAGGTCCTCAGGAGCGTTTGATTCTTTATCCTCTGATATCTGTGTGTGTGTGTCAGCCTCCCGAGCTTTTATAGCATCGACAGCACGTGGAGCGTGGGACAGGGAGCGCTTCATTCACTGCACCCGACACCTCCTCCCACCCCCGGGGGCAGAGGCCGGGGTTGGGGCAGGGCGGGTGGGGAGGAAGCCCCGGGCCAGGTGTCAGGTGTCAGGAAAGAAGCGCGCCCAGCCGGTCTAACAGGAGTCCCAGTGTGTTTATTCATAACCTGAGAGACGTTAGACAACAGACCAGGACCAGGACCAGGACCAGGACCCAGAAAGCAGCCAAAGACTGAACTGAATTCAGTAATACAGAGCAGCAGATGAATATTGATCACAGAGACGTGATGCAGCTCGTTGTTTGTTTAATGAGTTTTCAGTTAAATGAACTGATGTGGTTTTAGTGTAAACTTAATGCTGAGAAGGTTCCCGACCTCCTGTGAGGCTTTTGCGGCCCCTAATGGGGGTCCCAACCCCCGGGTTGGACCACTGCCCTGTATCGTGCAGATAAAAGTTCTGCATTGTGGCGCCCCCTAGAGGTGAAACACATGCTTGAATTATTACCAATTATTGACAAATATTGATCTGATGTAAAATGAAACCGATCGACAGATTGAAACAATTTACGATCAAACTCTGCAGATGATCACGACTCCAGATGTTAAAAATGGGATTTTGACTAAACTGATAAAAAGTCACAAAATTTGTAGTGTTGTTGAGATTATAAAACCTAAACTGGATTGTTTTAGCGCCACCTTGAGGTCAGTGAGGGAGGAAGAAGAGGAGAATGAGGAAGCGAAAAACATTTCTGTCAGGCTGAACAGAATCAGACTGAAAGGGAAGAAGGTAGAAAATAGTGAGACTGTGGCGCCCCCTGGTGGACACATCAGGCCTCAGATGTACTGAAGTAAAAATACTAAACTACTAAAATACAACATCAAGATAAAGTAAAAGGACTCAATATGCAGAGTAATGTATTATTGATTATTGGTCCCATATAGGAAATTAAAGGCATTCTTCTGTATAATAATTATATTAATAATACACTGAAATATAATCTATATATCTAATCTATTGTTAGTGGAACAAACAACAACAACTGTTAGTGGAACAAACATGGATCAGTTTCCAATCACTGAATTTAGAACAGCGAGAGCTCCACGTGTTAAATATTAAACAATGACTTTATGTCAGCAGCCTGCTTAAATATAACTGGAAGAAGAAGCTCTGTGTGCTGTGTTATGTTCTGGTTTCCATCCTGTGGTCTCACTAATAAATGACAGGATGTTCCTTTAAAGCAGACATATATATATATATATATATTTATATATAAACACTGCTCTTTACTGCCACCTGCTGGTCACTCTGAGGATTCAAATCATCCACAGACAGAAGACTTTAAACCAAAAACTTTATTTGTACATTTAATCAAACATATTCTTAATGGGGTTTTGAATGTAACAGGTAAAAACATAAAGTTTGTTTGAAAGTTTTCAGCTGCTGGAGATACAGGATGTGCCAGCGAAGCGGAGAGCAGTGATTGGTCGATTGGTCCGTTAATGACATGACTTCCTGTCGTTCTGCTCACTGAGGAGCGTCTTTGTTTCGTTCTGCCACTCCAACACGGCGTCCAGGGGACAGTGTCCGTCCTGACAGACAGAAAGAGACATTTACCATTTTATTTTTATTTATTACAGTTTAACACAGCTGGATGTATGGAAGCCAATTCCACCCGGAGAATAAAATAATACAGTGCAAACAGCCTTGATGATAAAAATGTATATAATAGTATAACAGTTTTTTTATTATCAGGGCAAAGTTTCATCTTCTGTTTTATTTTACTGGCAGAAGTGTGCTTCCATTGGTCTGATAAAGTAACAGACTGACTGTGAGAAAGATCAGATTGTAATGAGTCACACTATAATAAGATCTTTACTGATTTGTGGGGTTTCTCTGCAGAGACCACGAGTAAAATGAGCTGAAATGTTTTGATGTTTCATTTGAATTGAGTTTGGAGAAGGAACAGAATCCTAAAACCTCTCTGGAGATCCCACAGGTCAGAGGTCAGCATTACCTGGTTGGTGAGATCAGTCTTGGCTCCGTGCAGCAACAGCAGCTGGATGATTTTAAATCTGTTGAGTCGAACTGCGTCATGAAGAGGACTGTCTCCCTCCTGAATGACCAGGAACCAGAAACTAAATCAGTTTACACTGAAAATGTGTTCTTCATTAGATTCATGTTTCTGTTCATTGTTAATAAAGTTGTGTTTGTACAGTGTTAATAAAGTTGTGTATTTGTACAGTGATAATAAAGTTGTGTGTTTAACACTATTTACTTTATATATGCTCCCGTTGGAATTATTAGGCATCACGCCATTATTCACTGTTATGAGATGATCACTCCATTATACTTCATCACTAGTTGAAAAGTGTCCTGAGATAACTTCTGTTATGAATTGGCGCTATACAAATAAAATTGAGTTGAATTGAATCTAATTCAATCAAGCCCGATGAAATTAATCAATTATCTAAATTACAAACATGTCTTAAGGACATAAAATCCTGGATGACCTGCAATTTTCTGATGTTAAACTCAGAAAAAAACGAAATTCTTGTTCTTGGCCCCAAAAACCTTAGAGACTCATTGTCTAAAGATATAGTCACTCTAGATGGCATTAACTTGGCCTCTAGCACCACTGTCAGGAATCTTTTAACTCCCACATAAAGCAGACCTCTAGGACTGCCTTCTTTCATTTACGTAATATTACAAAAATTAGACACATCCTATCACAGACAGATGCAGAAAAACTAATCCATGCATTTGTTACTTCAAGGCTGGATTACTGCAACTCTTTATTATCAGGTTGCCCCAATAAGTCCATTAAAACGCTCCAATTAATTCAGAACGCTGCAGCACGAGTACTGACAGGAACTAGAAAAAGAGATCACATCTCTCCTGTACTAGCTTCTCTGCATTGGCTCCCTGTAAAATGTAGAATTGAATTTAAAATCCTCCTCCTCACCTATAAAGCTCTTCATGGTCAGGCCCCTTCATATCTTAAAGAGCTCATAGTACCCTATTACCCCTCTAGAACACTACGTTCTCTGAATGCTGGGCTACTTGTGGTTCCTATAGTCTCTAAAAGTAGAACAGGAGCCAGAGCCTTCAGTTACCAAGCTCCTCTCCTGTGGAACCAGCTTCCAGTTGTGGTTCGGGAGGCAGACACCCTCACCACATTCAAGAGTAGGCTTAAGACATTCCTCTTTGATAAAGCTTATAGTTAGGGCTGGATCAGGTGAGTCCTGAACCATCCCTTAGTTATGCTGCTATAGGCCAAGACTATCGGGGGATTTCCCATGGTGCACTGAGCTCCTCCCTTCCTCTCTCTTTCTGCACTCATTCATGTCCCAGTAATGCATGTTACTAACTTCACTTCGTCCCCGGAGTTCTTGTGCTTTCTCGTCTCGCAGGTTCTTATCGATCCTGGTGGAGCCTCCTGCCATGGTCCTACTAGATTGCCATTGCCAATACTGTTGACTGGTTAATGCTGTGCACCTGTCTGTCTGTCTGTGTGTCTCTCTCTCTCTGTCTCTCTCTCACTCTCTCTGTCTCTCTCTTTCACCCCAACTGGTCGAGACAGACGACCACCCACCTAGAGCCGGAGGATCTGTCCTAGGTTTCTGCCTTTTAACAGGCAGTTTTTCCTTGCCCTTGTCTCCAAGTGCTTGCTCATGGTGGTACTGTTGGGTCTCTGTAAATAATGTTATAAAGAGTTCGGTCTAGACCTGCTCTATTTGAGTGATAATAAAGTTGTGTGTTTGTACAGTGTTAATAAAGTTGTGAGACTCACTCTGTCCTGTGCGTTGAGTTCTGCTCCGCAGTGAATAAGATGTTCAGCACAGTCGAAGTGTCCGGTCCTCACAGAGACATGAAGAGGAGTGCTGTCCAACTACACACATACACACACAGGTACATCAGTTATACAGGTATTAAAACTTATATAACAGAAAACATGTTCATGTAGTATTAGTATTAATTCAATTCAATTCAATTCAATTTTATTTGTATAGCGCCAATTCATAACAGAAGTTATCTCAGGACACTTTTCAAATAGAGCAGGTCTAGACCGAACTCTTTAAAACATTATTTACAGAGACCCAACAGTACCACCATGAGCAAGACCTTGGAGACAAGGGCAAGGAAACACTGCCTGTTAAAAGGCAGAAACCTAGGACAGATCCTCCGGCTCTAGGTGGGTGGTCGTCTGTCTCGACCAGTTGGGGTGAGAGAGAGACAGAGAGAGAGACAGCGAGAGACAGACAGACAGACAGGTGCACAGCAACAACAGTATTGGCAATGGCAATCTAGCAGGACCATGGCAGGAGGCTCCACCAGGATCGATAAGAACCTGCGAGACGAGAAAGAATGTGATCTTGAATGTGGTGAGGGTGTCTGCCTCCCGAACCACAACTGGAAGCTGGTTCCACAGGAGAGGAGCTTGGTAACTGAAGGCTCTGGCTCCTGTTCTACTTTTAGAGACTATAGGAACCACAAGTAGCCCAGCATTCAGAGAACGTACTGTTCTAGAGGGGTAATAGGGTACTATGAGCTCTTTAAGATATGAAGGGGCCTGACCATGAAGAGCTTTATAGGTGAGGAGGAGGGTTTTAAATTCTATTCTACATTTTACAGGGAGCCAATGCAGAGAAGCTAGTACAGGAGAGATGTGATCTCTTTTTCTAGTTCCTGTCAGTACTCGTGCTGCAGCGTTCTGAATTAATTGGAGCGTTTTAATGGACTTATTGGGGCAACCTGATAATAAAGAGTTGCAGTAATCCAGCCTTGAAGTAACAAATGCATGGATTAGTTTTTCTGCATCTGTCTGTGATAGTATGTGTCTAATTTTTCTAATATTACGTAAATGAAAGAAGGCAGTCCTAGAGGTCTGCTTTATGTGGGAGTTAAATGACAAATCCTGATCAAAGATAACTCCAAGATTCCTGACAGTGGTGCTAGAGGCCAAGTTAATGCCATCTAGAGTGACTATATCTTTAGACAATGAGTCTCTAAGGTTTTTGGGGCCAAGAACAAGAATTTCGTTTTTTTCTGAGTTTAACATCAGAAAATTGCAGATCATCCAGGATTTTATGTCCTTAAGACATGTTTTTAATTTAGATAATTGATTAATTTCATCGGGCTTGATCGATAGATATAACTGCATATCATCTGCATAACAGTGAAAGTTAATGGAGTGATTCCTAATAATGTTGCCTAAAGATCATTATTAACTTTAACCAGAGCTGTGATGAACTCTAAATCCTGACTGAAAATCCTCAAATAAACTATTGTTATGTAGAAAGTCACACAACTCTTAGGCGACTACTTTCTCCAGAATCTTAGAGAAGAAGGGGAGGTTAGAAATCGGTCTATAGTTGGATATGTGGGTCAATAGAGCTGTGGCTCTCTGTCAGCCTGGCTACAGTGCTGAAGAGGAACCTAGGGTTATTCTTATTTTCTTCTGTAAGTGCTGAGTAATAGGCTCCTCTGGCATTACGGAGGGCCTTTCTATAAGTTTTAAGATTATCTTGCCAATTTGAGCGATATTCTGATAATTTGGAAGAGCACCATTTCCTTTCAGATTTCCTAGCTATTTGTTTTAACTGGCGGGTTTGGTGGTTATACCACGGTGCTATTCTCCTATGTTTTAATAATTTCCTTTTTATAGGAGCGATAGAGTCTAATGTTGATCGTAGTGAGCCTGTAGCACTATCGACAAGATTATCAATTTCAGAGGGACTAAAGTTGTTATAGGACTCTGTTAAATTCAGACATGGCATTGAATTAAACACTGAAGGAATCTCCTCCTTAAATTTAGCTACAGCACTGTCAGATAGACATCTGCTGTAGGAAGTTTTGCCTAATGGCTTATAATCTAATAGTATGAATTCAAAAGTTATTAAATAATGGTCAGATAGGAAAGGATTATGTGGGAAGACTATTAAATGTTCAATATCAATGCCATATGATAAAACAAGGTCAAGAGTGTGATTAAAACAATGAGTTGGTTTATTTACACTCTGACAGAAGCCAATTGAGTCTATTAATGATATAAATGCGTTACTAAGGCTGTCATCGTCAACATCCACATGAATATTAAAATCACCTACAATAATTACTTTATCTGATTTAAGGACTAAACTTGATAGAAACTCTGAAAATTCAGATATAAAATCAGAGTACGGTCCAGGAGCGCGGTACACTATAACAAATAGAACTGGCTGCAGTGTTTTCCAGTTTGGGTGAGAAAGACTAAGAACAAGGCTTTCAAATGAATTATAATTTAGTTTAGGTTTAGGGTCCATTAAAACGCTCGAATCATATATGGCTGCTACTCCACCTCCTCGGCCTGTGCCTCGAGGAATGTGAGTATTAATATGACTGGGGGGTGGATTAATTTAGGCTAACATACTCCTCGTGGGACAACCAGGTCTCAGTAAGACAAAGTAAATCAATATCATAATCTGATATTAATTCATTCACTAAAACAGCTTTAGAGGACAGAGACCTGATATTTAACAGTCCACATTTCATTCTTTTATTTTGTGCTACTGAGGAGTTGGTTTTAATTTTTATTAGATTTTTATGTTTAACTCCTCTTGTTTTTATTTCTTTAAATAATTAAGGTGGTCGGGGGACAGACACAGTCTCTATGGGGTTTTGGGTGGGTGACTGTTCTAAAGAAACTATTAGTATTAGTATTAGTAGTATTAGGAGTATTAGTATTAGTATTAGTATTAGTAGTACTAGTATTAGTAGTAGTATTAGTAGAAGTATTAGTAGTAGTAGTATTAGGAGTAGTATTAGGAGTATTAGTATTAGTAGTATTAGTATTAGTAGTATTAGTATTAGTAGTATTAGTATTAGTAGTATTAGTAGTAGTATTAGTATTAGTAGTAGTAGTATTAGTAGTATTAGTATTAGTAGTATTAGTAGTATTAGTATTAGTAGTATTAGTATTTATTAGTAGTAGTAGTATTAGTAGTAGTATTAGGAGTATTAGTATTAGTAGTATTAGTAGAAGTATTAGTAGTAGTAGTATTAGGGTATTAGTATTGTGTATTAGTATTAGTAGTAGTAGTATTAGTAGTATTAGTATTAGTATTAGTAGTAGTAGTATTAGGGTAGTATTAGAGTTTGTTTGTAGTATTAGTATTAGTAGTATTAGTATTAGTATTAGTAGTAGTAGTATTAGTAGTAGTATTAGGAGTATTAGTATTAGTAGTATTAGTAGAAGTATTAGTAGTAGTAGTATTAGGAGTAGTATTAGGAGTATTAGTATTAGTAGTATTAGGAGTTCTGGGTATTACCTTGTCTCTTGCAGTAATATCGGCTCCGTGGTTCAAC